ATAGTGTTAACCTTATATTAAGAAAAATGTTTTCTTACTCTTTTCTTATGTTTCTTATATGTTTTTCTACCTAACCCTATAGATAGGAAATAATGGAAATATACATGGAAATATATGAAGCTGCAGTATTGATTATTTTACCATATTTTGATTTGTTATTATATTCTCTGCTATGATACTCCCCCATGTTTTATATTCACCCACCTGGTGGAATGAGCTTCCATACGAGACCAGTGTTCTTTGGGATTACAGTTCCACAGGGCCTGCAAGATGGAGCTCTTCTACTGGGCCTTTGGCTGAGGCGGCAGACGTCCCTCTTCTCTCCTGGCTATCTCCCCTCCAGTGGCCTGGACCCCAATAGATACCGGGGTACTGCTGAATTTTTAGATTATCTGATTGACATCAGAACTAACTTATTTGCACGGTATTTTATGGTTTTGTTTTAAATTGTCATTTTAATGGTTGTTTTAATGATATTACATTAAGATCATTGTAAACCACCCTGAGCCCACCCGCAGGAAGGGTGGTATATAAATTGAATACATACATAAATAACATTCTTATATTATGCAATGTCCTTAAAATGTGTTAACAAATGATGTTTTAGGCTTCCCACCTTTCCCTTTGTCCTTTTTCATTTTTTATCCCCTTAAATGGTAAAATAATATATATATATATATTTAAAAAAGAAGAAGAAAGAAACTGGGGATACTTCCAGCCTGTTCCTGTGTAGGCTTACTCTAGATTGAGTCCTACTGAGTAGTGGGCCTTTCAGCCTTGTGCTTAACTGTATGCTTATATCTGAGTGATTTCAATAGGACTCCTGCTATTGATTTAACTGAGATTTAATTCCACATTAGTGGGTTTATCTTGAATTGTAAGTAATCCAATACATGTTGAAATAGTGTATTTGATTCTTTCAACTGCGAAAGACCCCATAATGAAGCTTTCTCTGCTAACTACGTCATGATACTCTGCAGAACATTGTCATAATTCTATTGCTGTGCATCTGGCTTGAAGACTGGCCAAGTCTTTCCACTGCCACTAGAGGCCACTGGAGTAACAAGGAACAGGTGCAGCTCAAAAATCAGCTGGAACAACCAGCTGAAGTAGGATGCACAAAAAATACTACAAGTTATGCATTAGCACAAAATTGCCGTAGCCTGGACCATTGCATCGCCATGTTACTTCACGACTGATCACATCAGTCAGAAGATGTGGGGAAATAATGATTGTATTTAGTTCCTAGCAAATTCTAGGATGATGAATTTATCTATGTATGTTATTTGTACTCCTCCTTTCTCACCAAGACTCAAGGCATATTACACCATGCTATTCGGTGGGACATCCAATAAACAATGTAATATAATTAGTATTGCAGAAACCTGAAACCAAGCAGAAATCCAAGATGATCAGAAGGATCTGGAAGGAGAACGTTTTTGTAAGCATCAGCCACCAAACCAATCATTAGTAGACAGTGATGAGAGATTGGCAAGAAGGGAAGTGCCTGAGCATTTCTTTGGCGAGTGAGTCTCTACCTCTGTTCCCATTTCTATTCCTTTGGATTCTCTTTCTTTTTCCCATAGCAAAGTGTGCATGTTTCTCCTGACAATAAAACATCTCCCTTATATATAAAAGCCGAATGGTGGTGGCACTTCTCTAGAACATTCCACACGCTCCGGAATTGGTTGGCGCCCTGGTGTGTCACTCAGAATCTGTCCCTATCCACTGGCTGCATTGCTTGAGTCTCACCTCCAACATTCTAAACAGTTTGCTGTTCCTGCCCAGTCAGTCAGAACACAGAGGTCATTTGCATATGCGACTTGATTGGCTTTTGCCTCCAACATTCTAAACAGTTTGCTCTTCTGAGGTAAAATGTGTCCAATCTCCAGGTGAGGGCTGGCGAGCACTCAGAATTACAACTGCTCTCCAGATGGCAGAGATCAGTTCCCCTGGAGAAAATGGTGGGCTCTGTATCCTTATATGCTGCTGAGGTGCTCCCAATATGACAGCCAATGTGACGTAGCAGTCAGGGCTTCAGAGCACGGGAGAGGCTGCAGGTGTGTGGGGGGTGGAAAGCTGGAGAGTGAGGGGGAAATAAAGGTAGGTTGATGATTGGCTGGGCAGGAGATAGGGTTGCCAACTCCAGGTGGGAAATTCCTGGAGATGTGAGGGATGGAGCCTGGAGACGGTGAGGTTTCAGGAGGCGTGGGACCTTGGACAGGTACAAAGCCATAGACTCCACCCTCCAAACCAATCAGTCCCTTCTGGGGAACCATCGTTGCCAATCTCCAGGTGAGGGCTGGAGATCACTCAAAATGTCAACTGTTCTTTAGGTAGCAGAGATAAGTTCCTCTGGAGAAAATAGTGAACTCAGTGTCATTATACCTTGCTGAGGTCGCCACAGTAAATTGACACTGAGTGTCCAAAGCCGGGGCACCCGCCCAGAGCCTCTTTCTAGAGGTTGTTGTATTTATTTCCACAACGGGCCTTTTTCCTAGTCTTTGAATAAAGCAGTTTAAGAAAGTGCTGTATATTGCTTAATATCAAGTCTAAGGCAGCTATTTGCTTCCGTTCTGTGGTGTACATATGTAGCTACTGGCTATGGCCCTCTGCCAGAAATACCACACAGGGAACCACACACTTGGAATCCCTGCTTCAGATGCAACATTTATATTCAGTCACCAGAGGCCTCTGGCCTCAACCTGCTCCTCCATTCCCCCCCCCCAATTTCCAACCCTGGAGGCAAATTAGGAGAAAGTGTGGCAAGAGAATCTGCAGGCTGAATGCACAGCGAGGATGTGGGCCCCACCCCCCCAATCTTACTTGCTCATCAAAGTAGCCCCCCAGGGCTAGTAGGGATGCCAGATGGCAGGTGGGACCTGGGGATACCCTGGAATGACAGCTCATCTCCAGACCAGGGGTGGATTGACTATGAAGCTAATGAAGCTTAAGCTTCAGGGCCCCTAATCCTAAAGGGGCCCTGAAGCAACTCTTTTTTTTAATGAGTGAATTTGTCAACAACATTTATGGAGTTTTTTAAATCCTTTGTTATTAAAATAAGGCTATTTTAGTGACAGAATCACAAGCCAATGGGTTGAAGTACTTAATACTGACCTTAGAATATGCTCTAATACCTGTTCTCTGCCATCTGGGCCTCGAGGTCCTTGCAAGGGCAGCAAGGCCCTTTGGACCTTGCTGGATGTTGCCCTATTGTTGCTGGTTGAGAAGGAGCCCCCATAACACTTCAAGCTTCAGGGTCCCAAAAATGTAGGTTCGCCACTGCTCCAGACTACAGACATCAGTCCCCCTGGAGAAAATAGATGCTTTGGAGAGTGCACTCTATGGCATTATACCCCACTGAGGTCTTGATTCCCAAATCTCCAGGAGCTTCTCAACCTGGATCTGGCAACCCTCCCCCCCTCACACCCCGCTGGTGGCCAGGAGTGGACGTGGAAACCCTCTGTGGATGTCTCTTCCGGTGGTACCAGGAAACTCCCACTCTTCTTTCACAGCATAAGAAGCAGTCTCTTGAAAGATTAACAAAGTGTTATCCTAGCATAACTCTTCATCGACTAGGATCCATTTCCTCAGATAGTTGGTCCCTCCCCACACTTCCTACATGCAATGTCTGCCTGAGAATATTTACTGTATCTTAAATAACAGTCCAGGAAAACTTTGGGGAGACGGACCTATAAAATCCCTCTAAACTTCTTTTATTTTGATTGCAACGAAAGAGGGTTGCCCCCTTAAATTATGACTCTGGAAGCCACCGCCGCCACCCGATCTTCACCAGTAGTCTGGGGCAGTCAAAGGGTCATAACCAGTGTTCCCTCTAAGCTGAGTTAGTGTGAGCTAGCTCACTGTTTTTTAGCCTCCAGCTCACACCTTTTTGTCTTAGCTCAGGAAGGAGGGCTCCAGAGCAAACTAATTTATGCAGTAGCCAGATCACTCGCTCACAACTTTAATGCCAGTGGCTCACAAAGTAGAATTTTTGCTCACAAGACTCTACAGCTTAGAGGGAACATTGGTCATAACCCCCCCCC